CTTCCTGGAGGTGGGACACACTGTCTGCGAGACATTCCTGCTGAAAAGCCACATAGAGTGATGCTGATGGCAGCCAAAGCCTTGGAGCTGGAGGAGCCACGTGGCGACCCATGCTAGCATAGATATGCTTCTACTGCCACTGGAGCCACAATACTTTCCACCCACTGGCTGGTGATCTTCCTGCATTCAGCATTATTGCACAGTTGTGTGAGTCTGAAGTAGAATTTATAGACTGATATTGGGCATGTGGGCTAATATCAGACTTATGGACTTGATCTGGACTAGGCTAGGATATTTTCTCAATATACAATTGCTCTTTAATATAAAGTTCTTTCTCACACGAGTGTCTATCAATGTTTCTCTAGTCTACCCAGATTAACATAACCATCTTCCCTGAATTCTTGGTGATCAGACTCATTCTGTATCCCAAGAGCATGAGTTAACCCACAGCACACGATAGATGTGTGCTATACATGTGCTACACATTATAGCATTATACATGTTATAATGAGTGTCTGGAGAAAATTTAAGTTATTTAAATTAATTTTAAAAGTATTTGCAGTGGAAGCTGATAGAGACCAAATGGTTGAATATTGGCCTGAATTGCAAGAAATGACCTTTTTAATTAAAACAATTCACTGGTTCTCAGTGTTTTAGGTTTTGGCACCCCATTCCCAGGTTAAATATCTGCTTGTAGAAATAGCTTTGGGGTGGAAAATAAAACATAGCACATTCCACCAGCAGTTGGATAAAATGATGAGAATTGGCAGTTTTCACACACACACACACACACACACACACACACTCATCCCTTTTTTCCATCATTATATTTATCCTTTTAAATTTATAAATCCTAGTCTTTCAGTCATTTAAATAATGAGCTAAACAATTTCTTGTTCTCTGTAATAATGTGCACACTCCAAATAATTACCAACTCCTGACCACATCAGAATTTTGAAGTTAATGGATGAATAGGATACAAAGCCCAAAGTGCTAATCTAATCCAAATGAAATCTAGTCCAAATTTATTTCTCTTTCCATGTGAATAGTGTTAACATTTAAAAACAAAACAAATTTGCTGCCAGCCAGTCAGTTGACTCATAGGAACACTGTAAGAAAGAGTATAACTTCCCTTTTTAGATTACTGAGGAGAAAGTCTTTATGGTAACAGGAAATCTCATCTTACTTCCCCAGAGCAGCTGGTGAGTTCAATCTGCTGACCTTTAGCTTAGCACCCCAACAGATAACCCACTATGCCACCAGGTTTTTACATTAACCTTAATTGCCTCTGAAATGAGAGTTAAACTGAAAGGAAATAATCTTTGATAATGAACAGCTGACTGTTTATTCACTTTCTGCACTCAAAATCTAAAACTTGCCTTTTTTCGCAACTCTTATCTAGCACTAAGAAGCTTTGACTTGCTGATTGACTGTTTTCAGTAATGCATTAGTATTCCCTATTTACTTTTGGGGTTCTAATATCCATTGCAATGGCTACACAGAAACTATCAGACAAAATTCATGATTAAAGGATTTATTAGGGAAGTTAATAAGTTGTATGCCAGTGAGAAATGCTCAGTGTAGTTATTTAACAGGACATATTTGTGGGAAACAGAAGGATTTCTTGCAAGTTGTCTCCCCCAAAATATATGCCAAACTTAGCTGCTTGCGAATGACTATACACGTGGAGGTCATCAGGAGTAGATCAGGGGTCATTCTCCCTAAGAGCTATCAGCCATCTAGAGCAAGCAATCACCACTGTTTATC